CATGCCAAATGAAAAAAATGATATATGAATTACAACCTGCAGTCCCCAATCATAACCTGCATTTTCTCTTAGTGACACTTTTTGTATTCAGAGGCCCATAAGAAGTACAATGTATCAGTATTTTCTTTTAGATTTAGTGCTTTGATGTCCTAAGAACTCTTTGCTTATCTCAAAGTCATGAAGATATTCCCCTATGTTTTCTTTTGGAAAATTTATTGCAGTGCCTTTCACATTTAAGTCTTTGGAGTTTTGTTTTTGTTGTTTGTTTATTTGTATGTTGTTTTTGGTGCTGAGATCAAACCCAGGGCCTTGGGCATGCTAAGCATTTTTTCTACCCCTGAGCTATACTCCAGCCGCCATAATTGAATCCTTGATCAGTAATCAAACTCATTTTTACATGTGGAATCAAGGTTTGTTTATTTTCCCATGAAGATGTCCACTTGATAAAGCACTGCTTATTGATCAAATTATTTTCCTACTGAATTGCAATGGTATCATGGCTATAAATCAGGTAGCCATATTATGTATGGGTCTATCTCTGGACCCTCTTGTGTTCCACTGTTGTTTTAGTTTTTAGAAATGATACCATCTTAGTTATTGAACCTTTATAGTAATCTTGAGCTAGGGAGCATTTTTATACACAATTTGTTTTAGAACTTTATAGACTCTTCCAAGAGAAACAAATACCAAAATTAACTATGTCAAGTCTTTTGTGTTATCATATGTATTGTGAAGAAAATATTGCTAGAGTGAAAAACCTGAATGTTTTCCACAACACCAAACCTACCAAGTCTACATGATCACTTTATTAACTACAGAAACCTGTTCAGCTTCACAATGAAAAAAAACTTACCTGTGTAATGTAGATGGTGTCTTTAAATTGACGTAAGGGGTCTGAGCTTTGGGGCAGTGTGAAATGAAGTCCAGCCTGATACAGCATTTCATCGTTGCCATGTTGATGATGTTGTCGATGAAAGGAAAAATTGCTCTTGTAAAACCAGTCCTTTTCAGATGAGACCTTTTGAATAAAAAAGGAGAGTTACAGATTGAGAAGTTAGTGGTAAAACTGCTTCTCCGTGAGCTCCTGACAAACCTAGAAAGCACTCTACACTATGGGAAAGTGCTTAGGCTTTGCTCTGTGACTTTAATTTCATAAATGTTTTTGTCATCATGCTTGTTATTGGGAAAAACTATCCTTGTGCAAAGTAGAATCATAAAACTAGAATTT